TATGAACAGTTAATTAAATTGAACCCAGAGTCAAACAGGCCGAGATCAATCTGCGACCCCTCCGGCTGCTTAGGGAAAAAAGCAATCCATGAATGATTGGCAGGCGGTTGGCTAGAGGTTGCTGACAGAGGTAAACTTGTCTGCACATGAAATTGAAAAGTGTGACTCAAACCAGGAAGAGAGGCTGTTTCTCTTCAAAGTAATAGCTGTGCCTTTTGAAACATATTTACTTTTACTTTAAAGGCACTTGATGTCTATTTGTTTTGCACTAATTCAAGCTTAACTATCGCTTGGCCAGTAGTTGGTGAGTGTTTGGAGACGGGTCAGCATCTTCCATGCAAGCTATGGGCAACTACAGCAATCTCAGCAAACCTGATGGGAATACACGTTTTTCCTAAGCAACCAGAGGCTGTCAGGAAATCGCAGAATGGTTTCTAAGCCTGTATGACCTAAATCTTAGAGCCAACTGCCATAAATGTCTATAATCCCTGATGTTAAGGATGGACCTATGGATAATCACGATCCTCTCCAATCTCAATTTCATCTTGTGTGTCCAACCTGGTTTGCATTCATTGCCAAATCCTGTTTAACAAGACAAACGTTCCTTTGCACTCTCTTTTTAAGGGCAGAAATGTGGGGAAAGTGTGATTTTCAAGCTTCCCCTGGGCATCGAAATATATCCCCCCCATCTATAAGAGAGCAGCTATGAGGCTTTGACACTTCAGAAGATTGAGAGATGGCAGCTCTATCCTCCAGTAGTTCAGCCCCCTACTTCACACAAAGCAATTACAGAGTGCAAAAAGCTCTTATATCTGTAGGAGTTCACAGAGGATGAATAATTAGAATAATCAGAGCAATCCCTACAGAGATATGTGAGCTCATAATTTCACCAAGGTAGAACCAGTGAGAATTACCACATTTGAACAAACTACATTTTCCAAACCTCAGTCTAACAAAACAGTTAAGCTAATTTACTTACATGTTCATCAATGAATGAAAGACAATCATTTCATACTTAGAACACATACATGGTTTTCAAGCACCATACCATCCCTGTTTCAAAACAGCATTTCAAAGACATGAAAGCCATTTTTTCAGTCTAATTACACCAGGTCAGACATAATCATACCAAAGCTCTGACCAAACCACTGACTGCTCCATTTGCAGATTAATAACAAACCCACAATGTTCAGTTTCCATTGGGCTGCAGTGGTTCTAAAATCCAGTCTGTTTTCCTTTAGCCACAGCATCTAAAAGGACCCATTAGATGCCTCTATCAGAAAGAATTATATTGAGTAATATTAATGGTTTTAGTACAATGAACTCTTTGTTTTGTGTGCTTACTAGGGATGGGTACCGGTATCCGGTGCCATGATGGCACCAGTTCTGACATAAACGGTAACCAGACCGAAAAGCAGCGCACATTTTGGTGCTTTTTTTCCTGAGACGTCATACACTTTGGATTCTAGCCATTTTACCTTTCCGAGGATAGTAGGCGGGCCCAGGTACGTACGTTCTTTTAGAGCAGAGCTACAGAATAAAAAGTCTGGCTGTACTTCACAGCAAAGGATGCAAACTCAGCAGCCTGCAACAAGTGCTTTAAGCTGATACTGTGCAAAGGAGGTAACACCTCGAATCTGATGAAACACTTGGCGACGCAGCGTTAGCGTTTTTTTAAAAGCTGAGAAATGCACCGTATTTGATAGCTTGCTGCGAGACCTCACACCGTGCACATCTACTGCGGGTGTGGTGCCTGTTATCGGACCCGGAGTTCGCAACATCCCCCAAGAACCCGAAGAGGCGAGTCCTGGCCACGTTATTACATTAATGCACGTAAGGTGAACTAGCAAACACCGTCATAGTTACATGCGGCTGTCTTCTTGTTTGATGGCAGATACTCCCTTCACCCTGACCAAAAAGGCTAAAATGACCAAAGAAAAAGTGAAAAACAGCTAAACATGAGAGGTTTTTAGACAAAATTGGTGTTTTTTCCATTGATTGAGCACTGCTTCCAGCCAAGAGTGATACCATATATGCTCTATAGCTGCAGAAAAGGCTAACATTGTTATCTTTTTACAAAAAAAAACAGCTAAACATGAGAGGTTTTTGGACAAAGTGTGTGTTTTCCATTCTTTAAGCACCGGTTCAAGCACCGGTTCGAGCACCGTTTAAGCACCGGCACCGTTTCAAAAGTACCGGTTTGGTACTGTATCAGATAAAACCTAAACGATACCCATCCCTAGTGCTTACTGGTAAAAAGAAAATGGGAAAAGATGTACATTTTTTAAAAAAAAATCAAATTTCAATCTATTTATTCTTCTTCCAGACAGCAACTGTCCTACTCTAACTCAGCAACTGAACCCAGGCATGAACAGCCTGTCAAGCTTTGGGATTCATGGCATGCGTGTATAAGATGGGTGTTCAGGCAGAACTCTGGGTTGTCTGTTTTGTTAGCCTTTCCAAATCCAAAACAATAGAAAATATAATATAAATGAACTGAATCACTAGGCTATTTATGTTTTACTCTAAGCCATCAAACAACCTTAAAAGCAATGCTGTGCGACATCCAGTGGCACAGAACATTAAAAATACATATGTTTTTCTAGCTTAAGTGCCAATGCTAAAAGCAAGCCTGATGGACTAATTAGCATGCTAGCTAACAGTAGCAACGGGGGTTATCTGCTATTCCAACACAAGCTAGTCAGGCCACGTCTTAACAATAAGACGCAGTTGCAAACTATACATCACAATGGAAGCATATGTATATAATTTAACAAATAAATGTTAAATAGCTGCTGGTTTTAGCAGTAGTGTAGGTCAGCAATATATAGAAGATGTGTGAGTCAGTTAAGGATCTATAAGCACATGAAGTGTAGGAGAAAAAAAAATAGGGGGAGTGGGGAGTCTGTTTCCTAAAAGGCAAAGCAAAGCAGTTCCCAGGCTGAGTGGTTGCCTGCAGCTACGGAGTTACTTAATCCCAGAATTCAATCGAGTTAATAACAAGGCAGATCATTTTGCATCCCAGTAACAGGAGACAGTTTGTGGTTTAAAGCATGACCAATCACAATGACATCCATATCATTTAATTACATCTAACTAAAAGTGCAATTTCCTTATAGGGTCTATACCCAGATCTCAAGTTAAAACTTTAAGGGTTGAAAGCCACAAAACTATTATGTCATGTACAAAAATCTTCATTGTTTCATTATAAGAAGTCTTAATGCTTTCAATCCAGATTAATCTTTTGCTCATTACTTTATTCATTCACTAGCCCATGAAAGTCACCTTTAAAATAAATAGATTTGCTTGAAAACAATGGGATGGGCAAAGGAAACATTCCTTTCCCCCAATTTGTTTATATACAACAATAAACTACACAAGCATGCTGCACTTTTAAGCAAGGTTAATGAATGTCAACCAAAACAGTTCATTAGTGGGCTGTAAAATAAGAGTGAGTCTGTGAAATGGACCACAAAGTGTAAAGAGTACCTGAGTATTTTTTTTCCACTACTAAAGATCACAGATAGTATAAAACACAAAAGTAACTTCCAGGCTGAAAAAAGCCAATGCGGCCAAAGTGACTAAAACCTGCATTCTACCCAGAGACCACCAGATGGCGATAGCTGAGGCTGTGACACGTTTATGGCAGAAAAATTAAATTACATCTGTTTTATAAATCTTTTTCCAACTACTTTTCAAAAACGCGGATTACCTGTGTTATGAAACCACAGGATAATTAGTTAACGACTTGTCAACCACACACCAATGAGCGTGTAGTTTCACAGTCAGGTTTTACTATGACGTCACGTTTGCTTCTTCACAACCAAACGTTGTGAGCTACATCCATCTTTCATACTGTCAATGTTAGCGACACATTCCATTTTTGCAATTTTTAATTAAAAAATGTTCATGGTGCAGCTTAAAGGTGAATGCAGTATATATTAACTACAAAGAAATACAAAAGGTTGCTTTATTTTTTTCCAGAATTCTTACTTTTAACTTCCCTTTAATCATATTCAAAGGACAAATGAATCTAGCAGTAACCCATGCAGCTTTCCTGTGAGAAATTATCATTACATGCAAAAGAAAATAATCGCAATAATCCACCACTGACCTCACTTCAAACGTGGCTTGTCATACCCCATGTGAACAAGCCACATAGCTCTTTCACTAGAATAATCGCCCACCGAGAGGCTCTTGGCAGATCTCAAGGATCTGCTCTGCACTTTCACCCCTGCTGAAGCATTAGAAGAATTGAGAATTCCATTATAGAGTATTACCAAAGAGGGAGCTGAGCTCCCTGACATTAGTAATCACTTCACCTGCCTCGTGAGGCCAAAACTACAAAATGCAGTAAGCAGACAGAAGTAATAGTCTGTGGAAAGATTTGAATATCAGATGAAAGGTTTAAGGATGTGCTCCTGACGTTTTGACTGCTGTGAAAGGTTCCATTATATTTACCATTTGATAACATTTAACTTTTGTTAAATTTGCAAAGTTTGCAACTTTTGCAAATGTTTCCCTGTCTATGCATTTGAACACAGCAGGAAAGGGCTGAAATATGTGCAGCATTTCCACTTCTAAATTGATGTCCCTCCTTTGCAGTGCATAACTGTCTGACAAATATGGTGACATTATCAAAAGAACTAATGAGCTCAGAGGCATACGTGTTTTGCTGGATTAGATTTGGAGAACCAGTTTCTGATTTCCATTCCTACATCCAATGCAAAGCAATAACACTGCAGGTAGATGCCTGCTGTGAGTATGGTATGGAAATTTATTTCACAGTCACTGCTGAAATTAAACCATTTAATTGCCTCATTCCTTGTACAGAGAACTTTCCCTTTTCACAGTGTCTGTCACTGTTGGCGCAAAATGGCACAAGCCTATTTTGAATGTGTGTAACAGACTCATTAAACATGACAGATTTCTGTAGACTCCCTAGTCTAGCTCAAACGCCACCAGGTCGAATGCTGAACGAAAGTTTCGTCCGTCCTTACCTCTTTGTCCATGCTGTCCAGGTCCTCCTTGCAGAGAGTGTATAGCGGCATTGTTTCTGACATGCTTGGCTGTCGTTTCCGCCGAGATGGTCCAGGCTGCTCATCATCTTGGCCGGACTCTACTCCCTCGTCTTGCTGACTCTGTGAGGTTCCCCTAGGGTACACAAGTATAAAACAAACGTGAAACACTGAAAATACAAATAACTTTGTCCAAATGTGGTAGCTACATTTTATTCTGAAATTGGTAGTGGGTACTACATCAGAAAAACAGTTTTTAATGGCATCTGTGGTCTTTAAATGCTGTGCTGCTCAGATGTCACATGAAAGTGTACAATGGCCTGAATATTAATGAGAAATACACAACACTGTTATGTTCTATTATATTTCACTACTTTATGTTTTTATAGATGCACCTGCCTGCCCAGAGACCAGTGTATACACTATATGCTTGGGTCAGGTGTGATGTTACAGTGAGCTGGCTAACTACCTCCATGTTTGTTATTACTGCAGCAAAATGTTAGTTACATAATTGCTTTGTCACTTTAACAAATTTACTTGTTTCAAAAAATCTGCAGTTTGATATTATACTACCATAATAACCATGCAAGCTAGCTTTTCCACTCATACTGCCATAATGTCAGGAAGTAAGGTATCGTTGTTCAGCTGGGTATAACGTAGGCATGCTGCACAAATTTGGCAATGGTTAGTTCCCCAATTCCTTATTTGCAAAACAGCCACCTAAGTTACTAGACCAGCACATGAAATTGGATGATTTAGCTGACCTTATCTATTCAACTAAATGTTTTAGGGAAATCACTTGTAGTTTGTCCGTTTTAGCAAACAAGCTAACATCAGCCTAAACATCAGAAACACAGCTCCAGGCTGGATTTGATCCTGAAAACCCAACTGACCCTTCACAGAATGCCCTGCTCAAGTCCAACATACTGTTATCCTGAGGGGTAAAATATATTTCTATTTCTTGCAAATGTGATGTCAGGTTACCTGCTCACTCAATGAATTTGTTTGATGCCTTACATAATAATTAGCTGGTTAACCATAGCGACTATGTCATTGAGTAATGAGGCTATCGAAAGCCAAAGCTAAAATGTCTTTTTTGGCCTTGTGCAACGTGAGTGCTGGAGTCTTTATTGCACTGGGAGCTTGCTGCTTGTTGACGTTTGTGATTACTGGCATCCATTTCTAAGCTGCTGTTAGCGTTTCTCACTGTTGATTGGGAGAACTGAAAAGAAGCATTGTCACATCTTTTGGATTTTCACAGACAATTCATCGAGCATCCTTCACACTGAAGTTATTCCATGTGCTTTGGAGGCAACCAACAAAGTCAGGGAAGGTCTCTTCAAAAAAATAAAAATAAAAATTGGATTAGAGAGGATATCTACATCGGGATTAGTTTGTGACATTTCTTTTAGAACATTGAGACGATGACACTTTTTCTCATTTCTATAAAGATGCAGATTAACACAAAGATTTTCAAAATTTAGATAAGAGAAAAACAAACCGAACCAAACGAATCACCTTCCAGGCACAAGGATGAATAAAAAAAACAAAGAGTATCATTATCATTTTTCTGTCATATTTTTCTCATTTTATTCTTGATGCTGTATATGTTATAGTGATATTTACAGGAAATGTCAGGCACCAGAATTAGGTTGCAAACACTGTACATAATCAGCTCATAGACAAGTAGGTGTAGGCGGTAAAAGGGAGTAGACCAGTCACAAAACACACAGATAGGCTTTCTTCTCTGTAACGAGGGCCCAGTAGATGCAAATGGGAAGACAAACTTTTCTACGGTTCCTCTTGGCAGTGCTTAATTGAGCAGATCTTCTTTGATGATTCAATCCAAGGTTATGCAACTTCCTGAAAACTCCATAGTGCCTCTAATCTATGAATAAAATGAGCCAATTTTCCGCTTTAGATGATTAATTACAGAGTATGATCACAGATATATTCAACTTAAAAACACTTTGAGCTGCTATTAAAAGTTGGAGTCTGTAATTTTCTGGCGTTATTATAAAGCATGCAGGTCAGCGTCTGCATGTGGCATCCCAATGACAAACTGGCAATGTTGGTGACTGATGAATGACAGAGTGACAGATCAGAGGTGAACTGTGAAGCCATCCTTTCACCTGCCACATTATTGCTGTCAAACAAGGACGCGACTGGCAATTCTGATCACTGCATAGGGAGAAAACATCTGACTGCCCTGAATTCAAAAATGTAAACAATACAAGGTGGGAGAGTTGTCTGGGAGGTGAAGCCTCCGTGGCTGATGATATCCCTGACCATCAAAGACAATCAGTCCACACAATAACAGGGTGTTGGAGCCTTTTTATTATTCCTCAGTTGATGGCTAAGGAAGCTATACATCTCCAACGGGGGTAATTCATGTAGTAGACTATCACTACACTGGCAGCTGCTTTGGTTTACAAAGAAGGTAAAGATTAAATGAGAGTCAGGAGTCAAAGGAGTACACTGAAGATCTAATATAAAAGAGTTGTCTTTAAGCAGACTGGCTTAATGTGGAAACACTGAGCCACTTTTCTGAAACTGTAGGTACTTTCATAAGACGCTTCAGAGTTCAGCACTAGTTTATGGCAGTATTATAGAAATGGAAAACCAACATATTTAAAATGTAATGATATGATTATTAATACTTTGATAGAAGTGCTCCACGCTCTATTAAACTGGTGCAATGTTGTTGCATTGAGGTTGTGTAATTTGGTATATTACATGATGCATCATACATGGTGTATGATCCCCCATGATCCCTCACAAAATATTGTTTATTTCACGGTAAAGTCCTGCAGTACCTGAGACCAGACTGCTCTCTGGGATCAGAGAGCAACAAAGATCCTGCCGTGTGGAGGTAGGCTGATGGACGGGACACTGCAGGGCCCCTGCGAATCAGTTTCCCTGTGATGGAGTCATATGTGCGAACCTCTGGAGATGCAGGTGGAGTTCTCGGGTGGATGGGTGCTGGGTGGAAAATAGGTTTCTGCAGGGAGCCCTGATTGTCAGGGAGAAGTGCTGGACTGTTGCTCCTTTAATCAGACCAAAAATAAAAAGGAAAAAGAAAAATAGTCAGTGAAGTTTTGGGCTTCTGCAGTTAGTATGCTTTAAATCATCAATTGGCTGGTTTCCATAAGATCACAACGCCCTCACCGTGCTGTCTTAGAGTAATCCTCCTTCAGTGGGTAGAGCTGCTCCTCCACCCTCTCCCACCGTTCTAGACAACTCCAGAGCCAGTCTGGGTTGACAACGTGGAGGTGCTTGCAACCTTGTGCCTGACGGACCTTCTCGGTGCCTGGATGACAGAGATGGAAGAGAATGCGAGCGAGTTTTGACCTTACAATCGAAAGCCATTACCAAACACGCACTCACTCTGCGTCTGCTGAATAATTCAGATAGATGATCCCACTTTCCCTACTGGAAAGCAGAAAATAATTACCTGGCCAATATGTTTTGAAAGATAACAAAGGATCTATCTCTTGGAACCACCGGGGTCAACATCCATTCATTTTTCTTTTTTTCCCTGCCAAATCTGGGCATAATCCAACTCCTAAAAGTCAGGTTTTATTTGATAAAGTGCTGAATAACACTACAGACACAAAGACATCAGACTGAATTACTGAGTGCAGAAACTTGTACTTGATGTACAAGCTGAATGCTTGAGCAAAGTGAGCAAAGCTGCAGTTCAGCTGTATTTTGCCAGATCTATTTACATCCTGGTCAACATACTACTATTTGATAGCTACAAAAGTAAGATGTATCAAAACAAACTAATCTCTACAATTTAAATGTCCAATGTCAAACAGCCAAAAAATGCTCTCAGTGGAAAGATGGCTTTCAAGAAGCCATTCTTAAGGAGATGAAATAGGAAAAAAAGGCTGAGGTATGAAAAATTACACTTGATCTTTACTGAAAATCAACCACAGCAGGTCTTACTGAGTGATGAATTCAAATCTGTAATGTCTAAATCTAGTCATCATCAACAAATATGGAGGTTGTAAAAAGAAAGGTATAACAAAGCTCAGGCTAAGATAAATATCTCTTATAATTTAAACTGTGAATCAGCAAAGCTACGCTAAGTAGAAGAAGAATAACAATATGGAGCTATGATGAGCAACTAAACAAGTACAGCTGAGTTTTTGTTTATAAACCAATATGACTGACACGCAGATTTATGCATTAGAATTCACTTTTGATGACCATTAATGTTTGAAAAAAATTATTACAGTCTATCAGTAGCTGTTGAGATATTTGCGTCTAGAGCAAAGCTGGAATGGCAGAGACTGCCAGGATTATAGTCACAGTTGCCATGGCCACTTCAAATCCACGTGGCTATTTTTTTTGACTCAAAATGAACTTTTAAAATGATTGATCTGACAGTTTAATTTTTCTGATACCATATACCCTTAACAGCTTTAACAGCAAAAATAAAACTTAACTCCGAGTTTGTATGTGTTTGTGTTAGGGGCCCATCAAAGAACAGAGTCTTGATGGACAGGTTTAATGGAGGAGAACGTGGGGGACATAAACAGCTTCCTGCTGTACCCCATGTCGTTAAGTGGGCATAGATGTTAAAGCTATGATTATTTAATCACTAACCCTCGTAGGATGTGTGTCATGGCTGCCCACTTTGCTGTTCAGCCAACGTAACAGGCATTTTCAGAAGTTATTTCCATTTAAGTATCCTACTGCATATATTCCATCTCAGGCTATCCTGGTGATGTATGAGGTGACTGATTGCCAAGTGCTGCTCTCAGCAGGACTGCATCCCAGGTTAACAGTGCCACTTCCTATGCTTCTATTCACATGGTAAACTTGATTGGTGGCAATGGAAGCCGTGAATCTACAATTTCCAAGCTGGGTAAAGGGACTCTGACATAAAAACATGTTTCTTTCACTTCAGTAGGTCTAATTAGAAAAAAACAAAGTGTATGAATTTCACTTCATTCATTTCATTTCACTCAAGTAATGTTACTTAAATCTGTATGTTTTTATTTTTAGCACAACATTAAAACAAACTTTCATATCTATTCACGTATGCACTTCATTCCTGGGGAAACACTTTCTTCCATAAAGAAAAGCTGTATAGCTATGACAATACATTTTTCCTCCATTAGTCATTCATTGTATTTACAATTACATCTCTAAATGTTAGTTTTCGTTGATGCTGCATTCTTGCATGCATGCTCATATGCATGTAATCTAATCTCACTGATAACCACCTTACTGAGTTTCTGTTTCGGCAAACAGAGCATGCTGCTGCAGCTTCATTGGTACTGATGCAAAGAACTAAACCATGTTCGTAAGTTTAACCAGAACTCGTCACACCAGCGCACTGCTTAACTGTATGCCTGACCTCTACGATACATCAACTCTAATGACACTTTATTCACTGACATTTAAACAAGCCTTACGTGAGCTTTCTTAAATTCACCATTCACCAAATGTCACCATTAGCAAACCATAATTTGCATTAATCACACAGTTCCAGCATATTGTTACCTTAAAGAAAATCACTAACTATATCTTGCTAAATAACAGGTCAGAAAAAGAGTGAAAGGTAGCAGGCGTTCAGCACTTGAAATCCACTCTTTTTTGGAAACGCTTGAAAATAAACCCATAAAAACTGAATTGTCAGATTTAACTAAAGCTGAGAACACTATGCACAACTATTAAGAAGTAGGGTTGAAACTAGTGATTATATACATAATCACTCCATCATTAATTAAATATTCCTTAAAGGAATAAATCAACTGAGAATGAGATTGCCCCCTGTTGTCCATTATGCGTCCCAGGTTTAAGGGATCTCTGCTTCACGCTTATGGCTTCATCCATCTTTTAATACAGTACATGTAACTTGCGACATCACCACTCAGTACCAGCAAAGCCTATACACTATACTTTAACTAGCACGCATCTGTACATACCGGCTCTTGCTGCGATGAGATGTGTTGTCCGATTGGGATTTTGTGCACTGAGAATCAGATTCTTGCTGATCTTGGCCCCCAGCGCTTTGGCATGATAGTACTCACGGGTTCTTTCCATGGGGTAGTTAGTGGGGTACAGACCACTGAATACTATCGTCGTCCCCTCCAGTGTCTTGCTTTTCAGCTCTGGGACGATCTTCCGAATGTCCGGAATTTCAGAGGCCTCCTTCCTCAAGTATGCCTCATAGCGGGCGTAATACTCTGCATGGATCCTTTCAAGCACCTCCTCTAAATAGATGAGATGATCGTCCTGGTCATTATCAGCTTCTTCCTCCTCTTCCTCGTCATCTTCCATACTCTGATCCAGCAGCTCCTCGCCCATGGTAACACCAGACTGTTCACTATTCTGGGACTCTGTTTCTGGCTCTCTCCTATCTGAGCAGCCATTTCCGAGCTCGGGGTCAGGCAGAAGAACTGAAGGCTCTGGTGAGTCAGAGCTGCTTTCACCTTCAGCTCTGCCTTTACTGTCCTCTTCCTTTGCCCCATCCTTACAAGCAGGTTCTTGCGTGGTTCCTTCCTGACCGGATTCCTTTGTCTGGCCAGACCTACTTTCACCGTCACTCTCTGATGAGGGGGGCTTTTCTGTAATGGAGTCACTGTCACTGTCACTGGAAAGGTCAAAGTCTAGGTTATTGGACTCATGTCTTGGTGCCGATGAGTTTGCACCTTCCTTGTCCTCTCGCGTCCCATTTGTATCGTCTTCCTTAACATTTGTAATCTCATCTCTCTGGGTGTCCTTGGATTCTTCCACAGGTTTTGTTTCAGTCTCTGAACCTTTATTTTGTCCCGATTCGTCCTCATCCGCTGTCGGGTGTGTCCGTTCTTTTGATGGCATGTCCTGAGAAGACTGAGGTGCTATGGACTCTTCCTTTCTGGAAACATTATTGTCCTTTGCCCTTTTCCTGAGGCCATTATTTTGCTCATCGACACCAAGCGTCCCTGTTTGTTCTGTGCTCTCTGCTGGTCGACTCGAAGAGCCTCCTGCTGGAAAAACACATAGAAGTTTAAAAGTATTCAAGGACACACGAATTAGAACCTAGAGGTGGGACTACAGTGAGATCAGCTTCTGATTCCCAAAAGTTACAACAACAATTAAAAAGGTGAGTTAAGGACTTAGCTACTGCCAGTGGTCATCAAAGATTATCTTCTACAACTGATGTGCTCAACAGAGGTTGTGCATTGATACTAGAGTTGCAGTACTAGTAATGGAGTACTGACAGCAACAAAATGGTAATGAACTAATGAATAAAAGAACTGTGCTGGTTTATAAAATTCTTAGAAAACAAATTCATAGAAAGATGGAATGTGTTTTTTTATTCTGTCCATTATGAAAAAAGTGAAATGGGCAATCAATACATTAATTAATATTTTTCCCCATCTCACTCCAAGTATATTATTTTAATTTTTGCCCCCCAAACATGTGCCTTACTTCCCTAAAAAAACTCACATGTTGGTGAGGTGGTGTATTTCAGGACAGGATCGGGTCTAAAGTGTTTTTTCATTATTGGTGGAACGATTTCGAGGATTGTATGGCTAGCTAGCTGATTATTCTTCACTTCCACCATGCTAAAGATATTTGGGACATGTCAGCACATCATTTCATTTGCCAACAGTAGGGTGGGTATTAAACCTGGTTACCAACTGAGTTACATTAGTACTACTGAGTACCGATTAACTTAATGATTCCATTGTTGTTAGGTACAAGAACACACATGGGTAGAGGAAGAACAAGACTGTATGAAATCCCTGGTGAAGAGCAACATGTTGAAGAGCAATAAAAATGTCTCAGGTGTGGTTAAACCCTATGCAGGCAGTGCTCTCTGCACCATTTTAACCTGCATCATTTTCCTTTTTTTGAACCACATAACTTTATTCGAGCTGATGGTTACATGTTTTATATTAATTCTGGAAGGTCTGTTGCCCTCCAATTATAAACCTCTCACTAATAACCCTCCTGACATTTCACACTCCTAGATTTTTGCTCAGGAAGCGCTGTTCCAATTTCCCCTTTTGGCAAACACTTCTTGGAGCAGAGTCTTCCTCTAAGACAAATTGAGGTTGTGTACACTGAATCACTCCGGTGAAAGCAACTCGCTTTGTGCTAACCAATCAGCAGCACAGAATTAAAAAAGAAAAATTTGGAATCAGGTTGTCATGTTTTCTTCAAGCAAAGGAGTTTATCATTTTAATAAGATAGAAAGATCTACTGCAAACTTCGAATGAGGTTCCTTGTTCAAACAAGCATGCTGTATCACTGTGACCCACAGGGCTGGATGGACGAGAGAGGGCAGTGAAATAATCTGAGGAGGCAGGCCAGTGTGCATCAGCCATCAGAAAGAGAATTCAGCAAATTAAATAGTGAACAAACAAACTTTTCAACAAAGGCTAATATATTCCAAAGTACAAAGAACCAATTACTCTGACATTATGTGATGCATTTCAAGCTTAGAAAGGTTGACAATTGCGTGGTAAGAGCAAGAACTTTTCATTTAATGTAACTGGAACTCACCCATGATATAACCCACACAGCTCTGGTCCTATATTGTTATTTATTTATTTATTTTTATTTAGTGATATATCAGTTAACCATGCAATAGGCTAAGCTTCAGCTGGACCACAACATAAACGGCTCATTAAAATTTTAAGATCAATCTTTATCATATTTAATTTTTTTAATAGAAAATATGGCTGAAATCTTCGGTGTTTGAATCAGTGGGGTTTATAATATAAACAGAAAAGTAGATCTACTGGGGAATAAATATTTGAGAGCAATACCGAATGCCTCAGAGCTTTGTCCACTATATTGCTTTAGAATATTGAACTACCACCTGGTCTCTGATTTATTCATAAATATAATGTGATTGAAAAATGGTGCATCACAATTCAGCTCAGCAGGACGGCAGAAATTAAGTGTTTGATACTCACAATTTCTTCAATGAAATCAGGATGCCAACATTGATAGTTCTGGTTGTCTGGGTAAGATAAGTTGGTTGTGCTAGTTTTGGCATGTAAATATGCTAAATTATTAAATAAAAATTTAAAAATAGCACTGTTGATGTCAGTGTTATTAGTTCTGAAGACTGGCAGTATAAAAGAAGAACATAGCTTCTTGGTCCTTGAAAAGTGACAAAGTCAGAGTACCCTTGAGCCAACAATCCCTTTAACGTTAACTAGTAATGACTTCATGAACTTCTTCACAAATAAAATTCTTATCATTAGAGAAAAAATTACCAATAATCATCCCACAGATGTAGTATTATCTACAGTTACTTTCAGTACCATTGATATTCATTTAGACTCTTTTTCTCCAATTGATCTTTCTGAGTTAACTTCAATAATTACTTCCTCCAAACCATCAACGTGTCTTTTAGACCCCATTCCTACAAAACTCCTCAAAGAAGTCCTGCCATTAATTAATGCTTCGATCTTAAATATGATCAACCTATCTCTAATAATCGGCTATGTATCACAGGTCTTCAAGCTGGCTGTAGTTAAACCTTTACTCAAAAAGCCATCTCTAGACCCAGCAGTCTTAGCTAATTATAGGCCAATCTCCAACCTTCCTTTCATATCAAACATCCTTGAAAGAGTAGTTGTCAAACAGCTAAAAGATCATCTGCAGAGGAATGGCTTATTTGAAGAGTTTCAGTTAGGTTTCAGAGCTCATCACAGCACAGAAACAGCTTTAGTGAAGGTTACAAATGATCTTCTTATGGCCTCTGACAGTGGACTCATCTCTGTGCTTGCCCTGCTAGACCTTAGTGCAGCGTTCAATACTGTTGACCATGATATCCTATTAGAGCGATTAGAACATGCTGTAGGTATTACAGGTACTGCACTGCAGTGGTTTGTATCATATCTATCTAACAGACTCCAATTTGTGCATGTAAATGGAGAGTCCTCTTCACACACTGAGGTTAATTATGGAGTTCCACAGGGTTCAGTGCTAGGACCAATTCTGTTTACATTATACATGCTTCCCTTAGGCAGTATCATTAGAAGACATAGCATACATTTTCACTGCTATGCAGATGACACCCAGCTCTATCTATGAAGCCAGATAACACACACCAATTAGTTAAAGTGCAGGAATGTCTTAAAGACATAAAGACCTGGATGGCCGCTAACTTTCTGCTTCTTAATTCAGATAAAAGTGAGGTTATTGTACTCGGCCCTGAAAAGCTTAGAAATATGGTATCTAACCAGATTCTTACTCTGGATGGCATTACCTTGGCCTCCAGTAACGCTGTGAGGAACCTTGGAGTCATTTTTGACCAGGATATTTCCTTCAACGCACATATTAAACAAATATGTAAGACTGCGTTCTTCCATTTGCGCAACATCTCTAAAGTTAGAAATATCCTATCTCAGAGTGAGGCTGAAAAACTAGTTCATGCATTTATTACTTCCAGGCTGGACGACTGCAATTCATTATTATCAGGATGTCCAAAAAACTCGCTGAAAAGCCTTCAGCTAATCCAAAATGCTGCAGCAAGAGTCCTGACAGGGACTAGAAAGAGAGAGCAGATTTCTCCTGTATTGGCTTCCCTTCATTGGCTTCGTGTTAAATCCAGAATTGAATTCAAAATCCTGCTCCTCACATACAAGGAGGCCCCAATAATCAGGCCCCATCTTATCTTAATGACCTTGTAGTACCATATAACCCTATTAGAGTTGCTCTCGCTCTGCAGGCCTACTTGTTGTTCCTAGAGTATTTAAAAGTAGAATGGGAGGGAGAGCCTTCAGTTTTCAGGCCCCTCTTCTGTGGAACCAGCTTTTTTCCTTCCCACTGTCCCAAAGTGCTTGCTCATAGGGGCTCATATGATTGTTGGGTTTTTCTCTGTACCTATGAAGCGCCTTGAGGCGACTTTTGTTGTGATTTGGCGCTTTATAAATAAAATTGAATTGAATTGAGAGCCTTCAGTTTTCAGGCCCCTCTTCCGTGGAACCAGCTTCCAGTTTGGATTCGGGACACAGACACTATCTCTACTTTCAAGATTAGGCTTAAAACTTTCCTTTTTGCTAAAGCATATAATTAGGGCTGGACCAGGTGACCCTGAATCCTCCCTTAGTTATGCTGCAATAGACGTAGGCTGCCGGGGGATTCCCATGATGCATTGAGCTTTTCCTTTCCAGTCACCTTTCTTACTCACTATGTATTAACAGACCTCTCTGCATTGAATCATATCTGTTATTCACCTCTGTCTCTCTTTCACAGCATGTCGTTTATCCTGTCTTCCTTCTCTCACCCCAACCGGTCGCAGCAGATGGCCCAGCCCCTCCCTGAGCCTGGTTCTGCTGGAGGTTTCTTCCTGTTAAAAGGGAGTTTTTCCTTCCCACTGTTGCCAAAGTGCTTGCTCATAGGGGTCATATGATTGTTGGGTTTTTCTCTGTATCTATTACTGTACGATCTACTGTACAATATAAAGCGCCTTGAGGTGACTGTTGTTGTTTTTGTTGATTTGGCGCTATATAAATAAAATTGAATTGAATTGAACTTGACATATTAGTGGTTGAGGTTACGGGAGCCTCGTCTGTGGTTGTGAAGTTTCTTCGTTTTTAAACAAATGTACAATTTGCTACATTTTTACAGTCTTTTGAGGAACATTAATATCTGATCCAGACAGAAACAGAAACGAAAGCATTTAGTGAACAATCTATGTAATGTCTGAAACTGGACAATTAATTCGGCTCCTGTTTATCTGACTGCGTCATTAAATAAATAAATAAAATAGTTGATTGTTGGAAGTGACCCTCAACTATAGCCCAGACACTTCCCACAAAGATTCCCATCACCACTGCAGGCATAAATTTCTGATTAAAGGCAGAGAACCATGAGATAGTGTGTTTTCCAATTAAACTTCTCTAAGCATCACTTATTTTTATTTTATTTATTCATTTATTTCACACTTGGTACAACAATTCAAACAAACCAACCACACTTTCTATCAAAAAGCACTACAACCATGTGTGAAAAGGAGCAGGAAGAAGAAAATAATCTTATTACAGGGTGTTTACCTGCATAAAAGAATTGTTGGTCCAGATTGTTTTTAATGGACATATTACCTTATCAAAGATGAGTGGGTGAACCATACCTTTCCTGGCCATCTGAGCTTCCCGTGATCCCGGAGGAGCATTGATGTCTCCCGTGCCCTGGAAGTAAATGTATTTCTTCACAGTGATGAGGTTAGGTGCGAATTTCCACACATCCTCTCGGTCATCGATGATACAGACCATCGAATCTCCACAAGGAAAAAGGTTTCTATCCAGGAAAGAAAGAAAGAAAGAAAGAAAGAAAGAAAGACAGTGCTCAAAACAACAGTAAAAACTGCTGAGCGTCATGGCAGATGCTCAACACAGACAGCCCATTAAAAATCTAGTAGTGTTATTTGTGGTTACAGGGAAATAAGGGGAACATCAATTTCTTATATCAAAGTTCCGCTTTTGGGTTTCCAAGAAGAGGCATCGCTGGCAACCACTCATAAGTGACACTGAGAAAGAACAATAGAGCTCTACCATTTGTGCTGCACAAACATGAACAAACAATGACAATAAAGACATTAAACAAATGGATAATGGCGCTAAGAAAATTATTTGGATTAACCAGCTCCTGGGTTTTTGGTTATTATCTGCTTAAAACAAAAACAAACAAAGAAAAAAAGAAAAACGGAACAAAAAGAAATGTTTTATTCATGTTTTTTTACTCAGTGAATTCTCTACTCATTTTGTTGTCACGCTTATTTTGCTCCTCTGCTCTCTGTTTCACCTTGTGTCTCACTGCTCCGCCCCCTGTGTAAAGTCTCTCCTCCACGCACTCGGAACACAGCCAATCAGAGGAGAAGGCAAAGCATAACAACTTGTTACACAACTGGAAACCGAGTGTAAATACTAGAATCAAATCCTTACATAACCACCAAAGAAAACCAAAAGAAACATACCCCGAATCTTTCTCTTTGTTTTTAAAACAAAACCCTGTATAGTAGAGTCCAGACAGAAGACAAGGACTGATCACTAGACTAAGCTGTGAGCGACCGATCTAGTCTTAGGTAGGAAATTCTCACCTAAGATTCCCAGTCTTTGAGAATGGATCGATGCATTCATCTCTAGAAAGGATTCGATGAGAGAAAAGCTTCTTTTCAGGATCCAGGAAGCCTATAAAGAAAAGCAAAAAAATGCAGATTTAAATTATTATTATTTTTTTAATCTATGCAACTGTAACCACTTCTTCAACACAACAGTGGATATTTTTCTTAAACTGACAAGCTTTTCTTGACCTTCTCTTTGGTCTTCCTGAATGCAATCAATCCAAGTTTCCCAGGGATTTTTACTGAAATAAAATGTCTATCAAGAAACGTGGACAGTAATGTACAGTGACTAAACAGGACAGCCACTGTACAGGCTGCGAAACCACAGCAAAAGCTGTCAATGGCAGGAGCGCTGATCTCAAACATGTTGAATCACTGCATCAGGGTCAGCAGTAAAATCCAATTCAAAATGCATTAAACATTCATCATATGGAGGCAGAACAGTACTAGAGTGAGACTGCCCCTACCATTTATTGCCTGATGAAAGTTTGCACCCAGAATACTAAAAACAAGCTGCTTAGACACACTAACATATCAATATAACGTTACTGAATCAGAAAGCTGTAAAATATTTTCATTTAGAAAGAAAGCAACATCAGGATTACTTTGAGCAGCCAAGCGCTGTGCAAAGTAAATATCTGCAAACTTGGCAAGAAACCTGCTAACATCTGAGACATTACATGGGTTTAGTAAGCGTTTTAAAGTTTAAGTACAACTGCAACTTGCAGATAGATAAGTGATCCAACAAAACATCAGCAAGAACACAAAGTATGAGCAGACACTCCCCTCTTATGGACACAAACGGGTAGTACAAGGTGAAAAGTTTCCCAAAGTGTCAAAATGCAAAAAATGAAAGTGTAAGGTGATTTAATACATATCCGAACTTTAAAGTGGAAAGGTGCTGCAACATGTAAAACAATACGCTCCTTACCAGCAATGGTGTGTGCATAAAGGCGGCTCCCAAATGTGAAGACATGCAGCTCATAGAGCTTGGCGATTTTCTCCAAGAACTCCTTGCAGTGTGGGCGAAGTCGTGTGTGAAGCATAGGCTCTCCTCGGCCAAGCTGGAAGTGGAAAATGCCCTGAAGGACACAACAAGAGATTAAGAAAACGTCAGAAAGAAGCTGCAGGGTTGGGTATCAGGATGCACTATTAAAGACATTATCATTGCCGACAAACTGAAAACCCCTTGATCTTGTTTTTAATGGGAAAACAAGGACTTGTGAAATACATGGGCAGGCTCAGCAGCTTAGTGTGTGTTTGTGTGTGTAGCTACATTACAGACTGATTTATGATTCTTTTATTTGCGCTACTTTTAGAGATCATTTTAGCATTTATCAATATCCTATAGCAGTGTCTTGTTGCTACAGCGGAGGCTGTTCAACAAAAGCTACATTGTACGAGTGTTTCAAAATAGCACTTTGCTAGAAATCAAAAGACGTGGTAGAATAAAAACCCTGCTGACAGTGATAGTTGTATGAGGGGAGACCAATACCTTGTTGGACATCCGTTGGCAGTGCTGTTCAGTGGTGTGAATCAGCGTCTGGTCCAGATCTACCATTAGGACCAGCTTTTTGTTGCGGTGCAGTCTCTGCTGGTCCTCTCTGCCCAGCTGTTCTGCTTGCTGTTGGGAGCGATTGAAGGTAATGAGTGGAAAATTAGAAAAACGTTTGCACACTCTAGGTTGTGTTTTTGTACAGCACAGGTGCAAGAGATATTAGAGAGAGATATTTTCAAGGTTTATGGTTAAGAATTTTTTGTTTAAGTTTGTGTGAAATTGTTAGTTAAGTGCTTGATAGAAACTTAACGAACAGTAGCTGCGTCCAGGTCATTTGTTTATGCTCTCATTTAAAATAAAATTCTCTCTGCTTTTAAAGCTATGGCCTGTATATAAAAGATGGACACAGATCCCATTGTTAAGTGTGAGAATGAACAACATGAGCGTTAACAACATCAAAGAAGGAAAGATGTCAGGCTTATTTTAGAGAAGCAATTGTTGCTGTGAGAAGACCATTTCCAAACAATCTGAGGTTCCTGGTTCTGAAGCCACAAGGATTATTCCCAAGACAAAATATTAAAGGTAAATCTTCCCAGGAGTGGATGTTCCACCAAATTCAGCCCAAAGTCAGACTGCACATCCTCAGAGAGAGAATGTAAACAAACAAATTACTCTACAAGCCTCAGATAGCATACTAAAGTTTGTTACAGTATAAGAAGACTGGAGAAGTGTAGCATTTTTCTGCCAGAAGAAAACTTTGTCTCTCTACAAATAACACATTTGCAAAGTTGCATATGAACAAGCCACTGGAAATGTGTGAACAAAGGCCAAATTGCACAAAGCCACGTCTGGTGAAAACCAAATCAACACCTCATTCCAGCTGTCGAGCACAGTGGTGGAGGTGTGAAGGTTTGAGCTTGTTTTGCAACCACAGTCCCGGGCTCCTTGTAGTCCCCAAGTCGACTATTAAGTACTCTCTATGCCAAAGTACTGTAGAGTCAAATATAAGGTCATCTATTAAAAAGCTAAAGCTTGGCAGAAACGTTGTTAAATAGCAGGACAAAGATCCCAAGCAGCAAATCTACAAAAGAATAGCTGAAAAAGAAAAGAATCAAGATGCTGCAGGAGTTGAACCTTTCCTGCAAACCTCAATGAACTGAAGCAACATTGTAAAGCGTCAGTTCTTCCATAACAACTGTGTTCTATATTATTAGCAATTACTTCAAGTTATTACTGTTAGGACTGGTTTGATAGCCTACTGAATCGCAGGGTGCACTTAAGAGTTTCACAGGACAGCACAGAAGTCTGTAAAAACTTTATCACATTACTTTATTTCATGTTTACTGCACATTTACTCTGATTTAGGTCGAAATGAATTGACTCAATGTCAAAGCAGCTATTACAGGCCTTTTTCAGTAGTACCTACTCCGTTCAGCTTGGCTCTTTTTATGGTTTTTCATTAGGTGGTAGTACTACCTAATGGTACCAGTACTCGGGTGGGATTCCAAGTGATCTGAGGCAAATTGAAAATGTGACATCAACAGACTGTATGCAAGCGAGTGACACCCAGCAACAAGGGAAATGGCTACAGAAGAACACAACACTGTGACCCCCCCCCCACACACACACACACCACATAGCAGCAGATATACCTTGGCATCATTGTTGTTGTGTTTGTGTCGCATTCAAATGACATCACAGGACTTTCTGCCGTTGCTATAACGACTGCACCTGCATTAGATCTTACTCAATTGTGATGGAAAACGACTGAAACAGAGTTGCGTTGAGTCAAGCCGAGTAAGTACTAGCGGAATAGCGCTCTTGGTAAGACCAGTCAAGAACTTGCAAATGCGTGGTCACCTACATTTAACTGATTAATCAATCATAAAAATGCAAGTCATATTTACCGGAATTAGGACTACTCGACTTTTGCAATAAAAAAACAAAAACAAAACAAAAACAAACACACACGCGTAAGGTTTATCTGGCCTGCCAGTCCAGTCCTCCACGTAGCTTCATCATATGACTCACCTCAGAGCTCACCATCAGCTCAGGGACACTATGCACCATGGAGACTGTTGCTGTGGAGATGGGAGTTTGCTGGTTCCCATTTGTGCTCTGGAGCCTGAGAAAGAAAAACAGAGTGGGCGTCACACATTTTTTGTATCTCTCAGGTCCTTGAACATATTGCGCCGGGAATAAAAAGAGAGCTTTGAAAAACATGCAGATTTGAAACTGCTCCACTTGACAGCCGCTATGTTTGCAGTGAGCACAGAATACACCTCACTTACAAAGTGATGGTGAGCATTTCAAGCTACTTCAGGAATATGTTAACATGACATCCAAAAGTGACACCTGCTGAGGCAATTCTGTGCCACATCATGTAAACTCTGTCTTCAATATTGATACCTTCAGAAAAAGAGCCAGACTTTTACTTCACAACAACAACAACAACAACAGCAGCAGCAGCAATTATAGTAAAACACAGACTGTGGGTCTATGTAAAAATCATTTGGTGTGTTTTGGAGTTTTATTAATAGCTTCAAATGCTCTTGCTTTACCAAAGTGATACAAAGAAAAACTGCAGAGTGCGAGTGCTTGATTTGGGACCAGAGCTGCAGCTCTGCACTCTGTATATGATCTCTGGCACCATCTGATGGCAATAAATGAATCAGGTTATATCGCAAGCACTACATTCAGTCAGTGTTTAATTTCAGTAAAAGTATGAGCTTCAAAGTTATGAGGTTCCAAAAGTATTCTCTAACTGAACCACGACTACAACTGGTGCCTGCATGGCACTGTCAGCATGAACTTTTTACCATTTATACAGGACTGTTTCCCAGCAAACAGGCTGCTTGAGTTGAGAGACCACAAGTAACTTAGACATTAAATATAACTGGTTAATGCCGCGTATGTAACCTTAGCCTTTTTGTATCAAAAATATAAATGTCTCTACATTATTAGAGAGAGAACTCCAATAATGAGAAGATTATATGAGCTAGCACTTAGAGACAGTGGGAAGAAAGAACTCACATCTAATAGAAAGATACTTCTGGCACAGCCAGGCTCAGTGAGGGGTGGACATTGGCTGCAACCAAATTCTTCAGAGGTGGGGCAGAAGAGAAGTATATATATTAAAATTACTGGTAACAGCCAGCGTTACCCCTCAGCCTCCGAGAAGGAACACCTATGGTATCAATTTTAAAAGCCTACGAGCCTCGAGTTATCACATTTGTATAACATTTAACCTTTGACTTTGAGATTTATACTCATTTTAACTTTAATGGCTGAGGGGTAAAAAATGGTTTGAAAAGCTCCTGAGAACCTTTTTGCATCTTGCAAAGGGTTTGACTCTAACTGAAAGTCAACCAGTAGATTGTTGTTTGAGCTAACTAGCTGTAGCAACCTTTCAAAAATCAAATCAAATCAATTGAGTAGATTATGTATATAAACAACAATAATGTGCTTTTTAAGTATCTTGAGGTAAGTGTTGTAGATGAGCTTTGCCCCACAGATCAAACACTTGTATATTAGGTTAAACTGGTGATTCTAAATTGGCCACAGAGGTAAATCTAAGTGTGAATGAATGTCTGTCTCTCTGGATTAGTGATAGTGATAGACTGGCATCTATCACTCCTATGACAGGCTGGACAGGCTCCAAGAAAACAGACAGAGAAAACAAAAGAAAGACATACTGCCTTTACCCAAAGCACAAGGACAGAAAATAAGGCTTTATAAGACATAGGTTCTATGGAGCTTCCATACATAGATGGTGTTGAACAAGTGGAAAAACAAAGTCTGGACTCTCTAGATCTACAAATGCCTCCCTACTAAAACATCCTCTGTAATCACATTTTAAAAACAATGATATCATATAGTTCAAATGCTTAGCTAAGTTTAAGTTCATTCATACAATTGAGTAAATGTAATATCAAAGATATTATCATCATATTATTTTGGTTTACATTTAATCATGTTTGTACATTTAAAGCCTACCAATAATGGCATTTTGCTTGGTTTTTGTCTTTGAAAACAGCGTTGGGTAAACGTCACAGCTATCTTTTTTTAAAGAAAACATGTTTTTAATTTTTTGACCAATGTTTTCAGAATAGTTTTCATTTACTCATTTTGCTAGGTTTTGTTCACTTCCCCCCCCCCCTTTTCTTCTGCCACCAGCATGTGAAATGACGCAACCGTGACATCCATCCCAAATGAGTGGTTTGCTGTTCCATTTTAGTTTGTTTTATTGTTTATAGATATATCTATGTAATAAAAAGGGGTAAGTTGTAGTTCTTGGGGGGAAATGCATGAGCAGATCAGAAAAACACAAAGATTTAAGTTAAAGACAAACAAACAAAAAAAGAAAGAAAGAGATAAAGCATGTATTTACTGAGTTAGATCTTGACCACATTCGGCACATAAGCCCTTCATGACAATGGGATGGCTGCATTCTTCTATTCTGGCTATGGTGCCCCTGCAAAAAGGAAAAAAAAACAGGAAAATAATTAAAGACCCAGTTTACTTGCTTGCAAACTGAAGCCTGAGACTGTGCACAGATTCTCATTAACTGTAGCATGCAAGTATATAAAACATATAAAGAAAGGTATTAGTTAGGTGTTTTATTTTATTTAGCTGTAATAATAAGACGCTGTAAAAGTACTATAAATAGCTAGCAGTAGATTAAGCAGGGAGCAAGAGTTTACAAAGAGTACCTGAAAGCAGCACGACCCTTTCCTAACAGCAAATAACAACTATATCAGCTTTGAATGTGTATCAATATCAAAAGGTGTCGAATTTAAATGTAAAGATTTCAAAAACAGAACATTTCTTTTAAATCTGATATATAATTCGCATAAAAAGTGATGCTAATACATAATAAAGCACAAAAAGACCGGTCAAACCATTTAAAACGAACTTCAAAATCTCCTCTTTTGGTAATTAACTGCTATTAACGCGTATTAATTCTCCCGTTACTGTGAATTAATACGCGTTAAAGTATATATATATACGGCTGGTTCAAGCTCACGAGGATAACGGCTGCCTCCAGGGTCACTCTTCTACCTGTCAATCTGCACTGCTTGTATACAATTTTGTGCACGCGATAGTGGCTGCGTCAAGGCAAACAGCACAGCACGAGCGCATCTACCACGTGGTCGTGCCTTCAAAACAAAAGTGCGGAGCTTTGGGAATTCAATCATTACTGTACGTTAATAAAATTAACTAAAATTCTGATTTAGCAAATACAATTGTTTTCTAACTTTCTCTTCCACTACAATCACAACTCCTGAAAAAGCTCGATAAAACAACATTTATAAAACACGATGCTTTTATTTTGAAAGCCCCCCGACGAAACGCCAGCTTGTTTATTTTGCGGTACTTGACTCTGGTCGGAGCAAACGCTTCACTGTGTTGCTTTGAGCGTGGCTAGCAAGCAAGCTAACGTCAGGTTAACAGCGTTAGCTCGTTAGCTAGCTTAGGTACAATGAGCGTGAAGACAGCTGCAACAAAACGGAGCTGACACAAACAGGGAACAGGTCAGCTAACATTAACGAGCTATAGCAAGCAGGGTGACTCACCCAGGAGATATGACTTCTCCAAGTTGACTGCATAACTCCTTCACTATTCCAGCACGGTCCGATTTCACCTTCTTCTCTGGCAGCCTGGCACCATCAGTCCCCTTCTCCTGAGGTATGGGTGCACACAGTGCTAGCACGGAGTCCACGTTAACAAGAGAGCCGGCTTTGACTTTCCACTCTATAAGCCGGACAGGGAGAGCCCCAGCTGGCCAGCAGATATCCGCCACCTGCACCATGGGGCCCTCTGCAGCTGCACCATCGCCGCCACCACCAAAATCTGCAGGAGGATCCTCCATCTGCCCCGCACTCTCCAAAAACAAAATCTCCTTACTTTTGAAAAGCTGACAACTTAAAAGGTATCCACTCGACTTCGCAAACCCCCGTGTATCATTAAAACGTGCGAACCGTCAACATCGAGGAGAATTAAAACAAATGTGCTGCAGATTTAAACACAGCAGCTCCACAGTCCCAGCTACGTTCGCTCTTCCCGCCCGTAAACAGGAAAGCGCAACACTGCAGCGACACGGGTCGCTACAGTATCCGGTATACAGCAAGCCACTCGCGAAAAACACCAGAGAACTTCTATCGTCTCCGAGAACGCCCACTCTTTGGATCTCTATTTTCTTAGAGGGCGCTCGCGAGGTAGTCCTGAATGAATACATCCCTGTGGACGTGAAGCCCCCAAATGTAAATTCCGTCGAGGATTTTATGCTGGGGACTTTATCGTGTGTTTTATAGGTGAATGTGAAGCAAAATATTTTACGGGGTTCGATTGTAGTTAAAATGCGTTTTTTGTGACAGCGCAATAATAAGACACTTTACGGCATCTGCCATTTTGATTTGGGGCATAAAGCTAGTGAATCCTAAATTGACCAATCAACTTGCAGGTTTGGTTTTTAGGAAAATCCGATTCTCTTTTTTTAAGATAAAGGAAATGATGTAACTGTTGTTATGTTTTAGGTCGTAAAAATTATAGGTATGCAGAAAATAATGACAATAGTAATTTGTGGGTTTTTGTCTAGAAGCAGGTTTTACCCGTTTAGGTCCTTTTCACTTGTGATCATCGAGGACGAGCTCGCCGGCGCCCTCTGCAGTGCCGCTGGCTAATCTACAGTCAGTTTGTGTACAGTGGGATTATTAGGAAATGAAACTACTTCCCTAGATTATCTCTGAACGCAGTTTCTATTTAGGTTTCAAAATAAAACGCCTCGTGCCTCTTTGTGACGCTTTTCACAATGTTGCCGTAAACTTTTAAAGTCACCAATGTGGTTATTCTAAGTGCTCCTTATTATAGATATCACCTATATAGCGCTTACATATTGTGTTAAAATCCGTGCAACCGTGAAAGATCATTATTTATGTTTTCCCTTTTTCTTTAAAGCTGCTGAACCCGCACAGACATGGTGTTACCTGACGCAACGTGATGTAACATATAAGTAACACTACACAAGTGTCTCATGGGGTTTTTTTGCAATAAGAGCACGATATTTACAAATACAGTAATGTTTTAAGGTGTAAGTGAAGGAGGTTGTTATAAGTTTAAGAAAGCCTTAGGTTTGATTGTATAGGTTATACCGGCCCTCGAGGTATGTTAATATTTAACTTTCCAGGCTGAAGATGGGACTGAAGGAAGTCAGCAGGGGATATAGATGATGACCTTACAGGACAAGGACGTACCTCGCACTGTTCTAGCTACTCAATGACGAAGAACTTAAGCACCTCCTTCCAGAGTGTTCCTTACAACTAACCGAGATGTTTCACTGCCCGATTTCTTTTTCACGCAGGTGTGAAAACGCCTTTCTTCTTATAGTTCACAATAAAAGCCATAGAAATAGTCTTGAAATACCAGCGATAAAACATAGCTTACACAAGTAGCTTCCGTTAACGTTTGGTTTTTAAAAATGATTTTATACTATGTTCTACAAATTATGAAATAGACATCATTTTCTTATTAAATGTATAAACGTTGTTGTGGGGTTAATGAAATAGAATCTTTTTTTTTCATTGAGGCAAAATTAGTAATTTAAAGGAACTCATGAAATTCCTGAAATTATATTTTAAATAAAATTATGTATATTGCACACCACGGGGCTTCTGTTACCTAACCTAGGTCACTGTCAGTAGGTGGATGCAGTAGGTCGTTGGATGGACTTAGCACTATTGTGGTTAAAGTTCTACAATCTATTTCCATCAATAAATAGACCTATTTGCTAAAGACAGGTTCTAGTTATTAACACAACGTGTGATGTTAAATTAAGTTTTCCTTTGCACATTTCTTAATTTTAGAAACACACACACACACAGTGGAGGGAAGTATCTGCATTACACAGGAAGTTTCCCGATGATCCACATATTACATCCACCATGACTCGTCTCCCATATCATTGGCACTGTATCAGTGCAAAAGAGACAACGATAGTGCAAAGGTGGCCGAGGTGGTGGGAGCCAATCATAATTCAGATACACACATGTCCAGTGTTGGTAGGAACCAAAATTTCTGTGAGGTAGGGGGACCTTTGTGTGTCTTCAAGCAGGAGGTACGGGTGTGGTTTTAGGACGGATCTAATGAGTTAGATTTTTTTTCTAAAAGAATCACATCAGATAAGAAAAATGTGACTATTTTCAGTTATCTCAATAATAAATAAGTAAGAAATCTTTTCACTTGTAGTTTTTATTTGTACGGCCGAACGAGCTGTCAAAAAATAAACGGAAACTACAGTATGTGGGAGGGTACCATCTCGCATTGCGTTACCCTTTGGTTAAACATAAAGGGAACCAGTGTGCTGTTAGCAGTTTATGAAGGGGAAAGGTAAAGCGTTTACTGGTGGCTGCTGACACGGAATATTAATACGTCTCTTGGAGCGGGTCTGTTTTAATAACTCGGAAACATGATAGCGGAGAACTGTAAAGTGGTAAATAAATCGTATTTACTACACATTATTAACCCAATTCTCTCCAATTAGCAAGTTAATTGCTAGCCAGCTGCAATTGTTCCCGGTGTGTTGGCGTTTGTGTATATTATCTGAAGTTTAAACTAAATGCCAAGGCCGTGTTTCAAAACCATACTGCTACCTAGAGTGTTTTAAAGCTGGTTTTGACATGAGGTAAGAACACATTCAACACTGTTTCCAGCCATGATGTGAGTAGGAGAATGAGACTGCATGAGTGGATCGTGCGCGCTGGAACACTTGGGAGGATGGGGGTTGCTCAGGTCCCTGACCCCGCTGCCATGTGTGAATTCATTTATCAGCACTGGAAACATTTTGTCCCTCAAAAGCAAACTGCCAAGAACAACAAAGTCACAGTATAGCTGCTCACGTTCGCCTTGAACCAGACGTTCTCGCTTCCCGTCCCTCGCGCGCACGTTTTCTTGTTGTTCCTCAGAACACAGCGTCTGTCCTCTGGGCCCACACTTTACTTCGTGCCCTAAACCTCTTTACCTAACTCGGGGGGTTGGTTAATGTTCACTTAACCTGTGCAAACACAGAGTTCAGATGTGTCAGATGGAAGTGGCGCTGTAGTTCACTCATACACTGCTTTGTTTTTCTTCAGTTGACGTTATGTCTGCATCAACTGGCTCTCCTCCGAAGAGCTCCGCTTCCTGGATCTTCATCCCTCCCAGCAAGGCGATCTTTCAGTTCACTCAGGTAGCAGACAGCTGAGGACTGTAGATGAGCTTCAGGCTATGCTCAAGTCTGCATGCAATGAGACTGTATGTGTGTGTTTTAAATCTTGCAGAGATGCTAAGCGCAGAGGCTTGTTATGGAAGACGCTCGTTGGCCTCTCTGTTGGCGTTCCTGTGGCGGTGAGCATCAAGTATGCCGTATCGCAGCCCAGACAGAGGAGACAGATGAGGATTGTGATTGAAGGGTTTGGCCGCTTCTGCAGGTTTGTATGAATGTCATTATCAGCATCATGAGATTCTAACACGTGTTCAGTCTGAGGCTGTGAAATGGTCTCTAAATGGTGACTTCTTATCTATTAAACTTGCACATTAGATTTGTATATCTAATAGTGTTCTCTAAGTATTGTCAGGAACATTAGCTAAAGTAGGTCATTTTTTTTCATGAATGGATAAAAGCAAAAGAAACAAAAATATCCTGACAACATTTCCTTTTATGGAAAGCGATAATTTTATCCCTCTTATAAGGTTGTAAATTCCATCTCATTACTTTTAGTTTTTGGGTTACACCACAAGACTGAGAGCAGGGTGGAGACGGGCAGGAGCAGATGTGTGGCCAAAGTCAATGTATTCATTAAGCCAAAATGGCTTCTGTTTTGCCTCATTTATTATTCCACCAAGAGGTTACGTTTTTACTGTCCGTGTCATTCATTCTGTCTGTAAACATAACAGCCCAAAAAGTTAAGACTGAACTCTGATGAAACTTTGGGGGTGTAGAGTGGGGTCATGTTAGCTTTGCATCCACTAAGCTATTCAAGGTCAGCTTCATTGGTCAAAACCTGACAAAAAGCCTGATGGAAACTTAGAAACTGTTATTCTTGCTAGTGTGGTGTGTTTTATCAAGATGTATAAAATCTACTTTATAAAGACTGAAAGTATCAAAGTTGTTATATTGATGTGAAACGGTGTTTCTTACTGCCATTGTTTGTATTGACAAACATATCGGCATATAGGAAATGATTTATTGGCATTCTAAGTACCTCTTAACTTTGGACATCTGATCTCTTCTTAAAGGTCAAATGAGGTATAAATATTATAAAAATCTGTTATCCTTTAAACTTTGCTTAAACTTCAGTTGCTATTGTTTGTATTGGCAACATTTAGGAAGTGATATGGGTATATGACGATTCTAACTATCACTCTGCATTTAAATATTGACCTTTGACCTCACTTTTACGTTTCACATCTGCCTTTTTTCAAGTTGACCCCAGAATGTGTTTCATCCTTAAATAAGGCATTGCCAAGAGAAAGAGAGCTACCTAACTCAAGGGACGAACTAGTGTTGTCTATGCATAACAGACAACTTTATGTTACTGGCAGCCTGTTGCTGTGTAGTGTGTCCTTAAAGATTTGAGGAAACTGAATGCTGTGAGAAGGTCATGTCCTTAAAGAAGACCTGAGACAGCATCTGTGAGCTACATCGGGCCCTTCAGTTGGTGCATCTGTTCTCTGAAGCCTCCTCAGAAGTGGTCTCAGTGGAAGGATGGCCAAATTACACAAGAACTCAACTGAAAATGCATCAAGTCTGATGAATCTAGTCCTCACTGGACTGTATGGAGGATCTTGGGAGACAGACTACAACAGTATGACTGTAAAACATGGTGGAAGCTCTGTCATGTTTTGGGGCTGCATTTCAGCTAGTGGGGTTGGGGATCTTTTTAAAAGTTATGGATTGTACATGTAGAAAAGTGCCATCTGATTTTGGAAACCACTGTGGGAAGAGTCAAATTGTTTATGGCCTCATTTTCAGCACAATGATCCCAAACACAGTGCCGTAAAATACCTGGACAGTGTTCTGTTGTGTGTTTATTCCATCAGTCATGGATCGGCCCCCCCAGAGCCTAGACCTCAGCTTTCTT